ACCTTACGGTGGTCTGTTGCCAGTCTTTATTTGGTACATATTATATGCATTGAGCATTGAAATGTCCATGAGATGGAAGAAAAGTTTCATGTACCACTTGTAACTCTTACGAACACAGTCAACAAAACCAATCTGCATGTCACACTTGTCAACCAAGCGCATGTTTTGTGTATAATCAATCACTGACACTGGTTTTCGAATACGTTCATTAGTCACTCGATCAACTTTGCCACTGTCTTGCATTTCATTACGGTGAATGGTTGTCAACAATGTGACATCTCATTTGTCATGCCACCATAATGCCATGCTGTCATTGGCAGTAAACACCTGCACGTCATCACCACGAGCACCTGCGTTGAGCCTGGGCATATGTTTACGATTAGAATGCACTGTGCCACACACATCTGTCTTGTTCACTCTCATGAAATCAGAGTAATGGGCTTGTGTACCAGTTATCGGTATATAATGTATGCCCTTTACCAAGATAAGGTTCTATCATGTTTCTCACTGTCACCTGAGATACCCAATAACATCTTGGTATCTTTCAATGTTTTACTACCCGTGTATACAACAACATCCAACACCAGGCCACTGTCACAATCAGAGTACAAACAGTTTTATACCAAAGCGTTTCCTCTTGCTCGGTATATACTGCTTGAATGACAGTCTACCTTTGAACAAAATCAAAGACTCGTCAATTACAAGATTCTTGAAGGGATAAAAAGTATATGCTGAACTTTTGTTTGAGATACATGAAAACATTCTAATCTTGTATTACCTGTCACTTCTGTCAGGCCTGGTTTTGTCAGAGAAGTGCAACATACGTAAGAGTAAGATAAACCTGTTCACTGGTATGATTTCACTGAAGACCGGGGTAGAAATTAGCTGATCTGTGGACCGGGGTAGAAATTAGCCGATCTGCTTTTATATTATGCTTATAGACGTGAGGCATAAGCATTATTGTTGCAAAAAGCAAATACATTTCTGCAACAGTCGTCTCTTTCCACCTGTGTAGTCTTGACTGTGGTGATAAGATCGTATTTGCCATAGTGTACTCAAAATACTTATACTTATTACTTTCCCTGACAATTTCCATCAATGGCTGGTCAAAGAATAATTCAAAGAATTCCAGTTCATTGGCCGTGGTTCCAAGGGGACAAGTAGGTAGAATTCCACTTTGAGAATCGTCAAAGTGGTGAGGCTTGGGGACAAAATTGGGATTCTGTTGCCAATCCCACATACGGTTTGCTGGTGGATACTGGACATCATAGGCTGGTTGTGGTGGGCTGGTGGCTGGCGCTCCGCTTTGTCCTTGAACTGACGAGTCAGCAGCGTGGGTCCCAGCGTGGCCTGGTGAGTCGCGCATGGCGGTGCCACTACCATCACCACTAACACCATCCACTGATGCCTGTGGTCTATCCATGCCAAGTGTAGCCACATCATCCTCACTATCACTACCTAAAACTGGTGTTGGGCCACGGGATGTACTCCGTCCCCTGGGCACAGCATAGGGTACACTACCCGAGCGCATGCGGCGGCGAACATACCGACGCTTCACTGGTGAATGATTCCTCACTATCACTACTCGATTGATCGTCGAGCGCAATAAAATCGCAGTCCACGTCACTATCATTACTGAAGTCAGAGGCCTGGCCACGCGAAAATATTAGCTTTCTCTTGCGATGAGGAACAACCAACCGTGAGTCACGAGTGCCCACACCAGAGGTAGAAGGTTGAGGATCGTCAGGGTTTTCTGCACTATTATCGATATCCTGGTCATTCTTTTCGGTCACTAACTGATCAAAGCCGTAGAATTCGTCTTCATTTCCACTTCCATCAGTGTCAGAACTATCAGATAGGAAGAGGAGAGTCCCAATTTTCCGGGGAGTGAGAAGTGACTTGCGACGAGGCATGGTGAACAAGGGCAACTGAGCCGGCGTTCCCACAATGCTATGCGGGCGCCTAGGTTTTTTGTTTATGGTGCACACCCACCACGCAGACCTGTTCTCTCACATGTAGGCCTATGAGCGTTTTCGCGCTAAATTTGACTGCGCTAGAATTTTGGCGTTGATCTACGGTTTGGACACTCAACGTAAAGCCGTTGATCAACGGGACGGACCCTGAAAGGGTTAATGAACGAAAGCTGACACTTGAGTGTGATGCTTTTTCTTTGGACTTCGTCGAAATGGACCGTTTTGTTTAGGTTAAATGTCAGAGCAGTGTCTGAATAGTCAAAATTTTCTTAAGTTAGGTGAATATAGAGCTCTACGAATATTGAGGTTCCACTGTACTTGCATGCACATGCTTGTACACATACACATGCACTCACACACATGCACTCACACACATGCACTCACACACATGCACTCACACACATGCACTCACATGCACTCACACACATGCACTCACACACATGCACTCACACACATGCACTCACACACATGCACTCACACACATGCACTCACACACATGCACTCACACACATGCACTCACACACATGCACACCACTCACTCACTCCCCCCCCGTGTTGATAAATATCTAATTGGTTTTAGAAATGGTTTGCCATCACATGTCTAGGAAGGCTGACTAAACTTTCCAAACCCTTCTTGCCCATCCCTCTGCCAAACTGAGGGAAAGAAGGGGTTGTCTTGTTTTTATTGGTCATTAAAAATGTATACTTGTAAACTGAATTAGACACAAAAGGATGTTTGAGATAGAAAAATGCAGTAGTACACCTACTGGCTATGCTGGGTCGAATTTGTATTCTGCAATTTCCACCAGTATGTTTCTTTTAAAGCTAACCTTAGTGCTTGCTTCAGTGATGCTACAGTAAACCCTTGATTTAACATCTTTGGAACTCGCTAAATCCACTGGGTCAGTTGATTTGGAAACTGGATGAAGTTCATTGGTTACAAAATTATGAAGAATAAAAATGATCTGTGAGTCACCATTACTGTCCATTTTGCTCTTCCCAGTTAAATTGAAGGTTTACTTTGCAGTTTGTTGCACTTGTTAACAGCTGTTGCCAAACCAATGTTTTTATATATCCTTTGTAAATTTAAGAAATTTTAATCCTTTTCTATATACTTTTCAGCTCTTATCTTTCTGTTCCATTTGTACAAATCAGTAAAATCAGTTTTTGACAAGTATGCTGATACCTAAATTTAAAACTGGAAATAAAATAACTCGGTTACTAATACAGCCTCCTCATTTAACGACTGAGTTCCGTTCCTAGGATCACATCGGTGAACGAATTTGTCGTTAAGTGAGGAGCATACTGTAATAGTGGATTTGTCATCCATCTTTGATATTGTTTTAATATCACCTTTGCACTAATTATAAAAATTTTAGTATATTTTTAAATGTTTATACAGTAGTGTACTGTGTATTGTAATAAATGGTAAGGGGAAATCAGCTCTTAATATATAGTGTTTAGGTATGCATACTGGTCAGAGAGCCTGTCGTAAGTCAGTCATTGGTAAACGAGTACATCCTTAAGTGAGGAGAGGCTGTATTTAGCATTTTTGTAATTTTAATGAGCCTCTTAAAACGTGGGTGTTCATTGCAATTAATGGGAGCACTTGAATGACAGCTGGTGTATTGGCTTACAGAAAATGTAATTACCAGTTGTTACTACACCCTCTCCTCGCTTAGTGAAGTAGTATTTTACTAATGCCTCAGACTTATGACGGGCTCTGGCCAGTATACATACCTAAACAATGTATATTAGAGAAGATTTTCTCTTTTTATTACAGTACACTACTGTAGTGTAAAGCACCCTTCTGGTAAGACAGTGATGGAGTGAATGATGGTGAAAGTTTTTCTTTTCGGGCCACCCTGCCTTGGTGGGAATCGGCCAGTGTGATAATAAAAAAAAATAATACTGTATCAACATTTAAAAATGAGATGTTATAAATGGTGCAAAGGTGACATTAAAACAATATCAAAGATGGTTGACACAAACCCATTACTATTATAGTATGTGCCTCACTTAGCGATGAATCCATTTACCAACGTAGTCTTAGGAACGGAACTCCGTCATTAAGTGAGGAGAGGCTGTATTCAAAATTAGTACTGCAGGGAATAGAAAATTTGATGACATCCATTAGTCTTGGGAGAAAATTATAGTTGATTAGAATAAAATCAAATTACTGGATTGGTAATAAGTGTTCTTATGAGGCAGTCTAAATTTTAAAATTTCCTTTAGAAAAGCGTGTTCAGTTAATTTTGGTAGTTTGCAATCCTTGGTAGTTTTGAAAATTACAGTATGCCAAAGAAAAGCTTTCACAAAATTAACACTGATTTGGAATGTTACTAAATGAGAAAATGAATTTGGAAAAAGGTGGATAAACCCATGTTAATAGGTTTGGAAAAAAATAGAACCAACATTTTTCTTTAACTAGGAACAAATACTAAACTAAAAAAGCAGCCTATATACCACTAACTTGTGTATCATGTATTTAAGTTGTGGTACTCAGGAAGAAGTTGATGCCCTAAAGGAGGTTGCTACTTTAATAGAGCATGTGTAATGAAAAGACCACCACAAGTCTTGAATTATTTTAAACCTAAACATTACATATACATTACTGATCACTGCATAACAGTAGTAGGTCCAGCCCATGTGCCTGAAAAAAGATTGCCTTGATTAATGCATTGCTCACCATCCTGTTCTGAAATTGTTGGATATCCTTTTTCACCCTCAAACCATACAAAACTGGTTGTTTTAATGGTATAACAGTCATCTTGGGCGATAGGCTGCTAGGTCTGTTGGCTCCAATTATGTACAGCATGTTTTAGTTAAATACTTCATATTAAAGTATGCATGCATTTTTGCATGTATAAATTTTGAAGTGCCTATTCAAAGGGTATATAGCAAGATGTGATGAGAATAAGAAACTTAACAAATACAGCAAGTTTATGGGTGTTAGTCATAAATATCTGTACTTTTAAAATTTAAGTCCTTACTTATTAAAAATTGCATTTTCATATGAAAATGCCATGTATGCTTTATTTGATGTGTTTCTTTTACTTAGATTATATCTTGCTGTATACTGTACTGTGGACATGCACTTTTTGTAGGAAAACTCGGCGCGTCAACTGGGCAGTAAAGTTGGGCCACTGTGGAGAGCTCTTCTGAAATGGAAGGTAATGTTGATATGGCCAGAGTATATTAAACTCATGGTCTTGATTTATTTAGTTTTATTTAAAATTTATTAAAAATATTACTGCTTTAATATTGCACAGTGTAAAAACAGTTTAGTAAAATGAAAGTGAGGGATAGTTTGAGATTTTTAGATATTTATTGGCATCTCATTGTTCATGTTGATTATAATGTGTCGAGTCATTAGTACCTAAACGTGATTTACTTGATATTGAATGGTCGGCACTTCCCTGTCGACTGAACTGCTTAATAGGGGAGTTTAATTCAGCTATGAATTTAGATCATCTTAGACTCTGAAACCCTGTGTCTGTTAAATATATCTCTGAAATGTAATAATAGTGCATTATCACACTTATCTCTACCTGTAAATCTGAGGATTAAACTAGTTTGTCAGGAATGGCACTATAACAGAAATATCCTAATACTTTGAGCTGAGGATTATCATTTATACTCTTGGAAGGAAACTGACTGATATTGATTACATTTATATTAGTTTACCAATTTTTTTTTTCCCAAGATGGATATTGTCCTTTATCCTTTAAGATTCTCTCAAATTTCCATGTGACATTTATAAAAAAAAAAAATTAAAAGGTAGTGAATAGTATACTGCATAACAATCCATTGCTGCTTTAGTTCTCAAATTAGTAAATGAGGTCCTAGTCCAGTAATACTTGCATGGGTCTTTTAAACTCTTAAATTAAATATCATGTTAAGAGTAATTTGATTTACTTACAGTAGATAATATTTTTGGCAAGATAAATTAAAAATGTTGGGTTTAGGTCATAGTAATAGTACGATGAGTAAGATAAAAGTCCAATGGGATGGTTCTGTAGGCCGGTATTTGACCTCTTATTTACTACCTAAATCTCAGTTGATTGGAGAGAGTGACTACCTAAATCTCAGTTGATTGGAGAGAGTGCACATGTGCAGAACTTGGAAATCTTAAGCCCCTGGACTGATAAAAATATGAAAATTCTGATCCTAGAAGAAAATAGCAGCACTGAGCTAAGTTTTTTACTGTTTCTGGTTAGAAACAGTGAAGCATAACTGCAATTGTGCAGCTCTCTAATGGTAAGGCCTGTATAATGTGCATCTTTGGTCCTTTGTACATTATACAGGTTTAGTGGAAAACTAAGTGAATTAATATCCCATATTGAGATTCTCATACAAAGCATGCTGAGCTACAGAAGTAAGAATACTATATATAGTGCTGAAAGTACCTTGCCTTGGAATTGGATAAATTACAAATACATATTTTTTTTTTTTTAAAGGAAAGCTTTGAGATTATCATAAGATTGGAATAGCCATTTTAATTTAAGCAAATATTTTTGGTGTTTCATCAAAGTGATGAAATGGTTGGCTGGGAGCAAGTCCTGCTCAGAGGAAGTGGAGCTAGAGTTCTTAGTTGAGGCATCATTGAGTGTGGTCACTAGTGGATCTGTTCATTTGCATGTTTTACACATTACTACTGCATCTTGAATATTTTGCAGCATGGCTTCATCTCTACAAGGACAGTTCCCACAATCATACTTTCTTTAAGTCTACATAATTTCTGGCATATCCATGAAAATTGTAATTAGTATCTGATGCTCAGTTTTACTTCATCCTGCATAAGAGTGGTCATTTTTCATATGGGCAAAATTTGTCTAATGTACGTGTAACTTTCATATTAATTACATATAAATCCTAGAAGAATATACCTGAACACTAATATAAAAAATTAGTAACATCCAAACTGTATGATGCATTTTGTGAAGTAATGCATCAGATTTCATTCATAGTTTTACTTTTTCTTCAGCATCAACAATGCCTCCAAAAACAAAGATATTTGTGGGCAAATTGCCTCCAACTTGCAAGGACTTCGAATTACGTAAATTATTCGAGAGGTATGGGGAAGTCACAGAATGCTCCATTCTTGGGAATTATGCCTTTGTACACATGAAGACGGACGAACAGGCAGCAACAGCTATTAGGAACCTTAACAACTGGGACATGAATGGTTTCAAGATCAGTGTTGAGGTATGTTCTCAGTTTGAATACCATATAATGCAGTTATACATTATTACTAAGAAGGGTAGCTAATGAGTAGGTTTTTCATAGAGCCTTTGCTTTGGCAAATGGCCAAAGTGAAGTTTTTCATAATTTTTGTACATATGTTCTATATATTAATGGCAGTAGGTTAATATGAAGCTTTAAGATGAAATTTGAAATCCTTCAAACAGCAATCGACAGGAGAGAAGCGAGCTGGTGGAATGGGTGGTATGGGAGGTCGTGGAGGAATGGGTGGTGGATTCCGTGGACGGGGTGGCCCTATGAGAGGACGAGGCATGGGCCGTCCAGGCCCATATGACCGTAGACCCCCAATGGGTGACCGCTATGGACCACCACCCCCAGGCCCACCCCCAGCACCACCTATGAGAAATGGCTATTATGATGATTATGAACGACGTGATCGCAGACCCCTCCCTCCAGCAGGAGCTCTTGACCGTCGGCCTCCTCCTCCAATGCCAAGAGAGCCAGCATACAGAGACCCCTATGACCGATATGATTCTTATGATCGCATGCCGCCTCCACCCATGGGGCGTCGTACTCCCCCTCCAATGGACCGTCGCCCTCCTCCTATGGGATATGACCGCAGGGATGATCCATATGGAGATATGTATGGACCAAGGCCAGAGTATGTTATACCTTTTGTGATTAGTATTTTATGATTAACTAGTAAAAACTTGTGAAGTATTTATATACTATGTAATTTCATTTTGGATCAGTTGGGTTACTGACAGATTCGAGAAGTTAGTTTACATGATGTAATTCACTGAGCAGTAGTGTGTATTGCATTTAGATGTTTACTGTAACTGGTATCATGTCTGCTGACCCTTAAAAGTGATTACTTTTTTCTCCCTGCTTTTCTGCAGTTACTGTTCATAAAAAAAAATTGGTTATAGGCTTTGCTTTTTCTACACAACTAAGTTTGCTGGGAACAGATACGGTAACTGGTTAAAGATCAAAAAGAATTGTCAAAACTGTTATGGGTTAATGTTGACTTTTGGAAGGTGGAATGTAGTAAGTATATGAGCAGTGAAGTAATGATGTAGTAGATATCTCAGCATTTTATTCAGTCTAGACAACCTCAGTTGTAAATGCTGCTTTTAGCAGAAATTGAAATTTACTGCTGACATTAATTTGTAGGAACAATCTGAAATTATTTATTGTAGCTAGAGGTTTGGAGTTTAGTTTGGTATGAGGTTACCAAAGGTTTTTCCATTGAGCTGAGAAGGGGGTTGTGGTTGGGCATTCAGGAAGAATGGAGCAGAATAGGATTGAGTGCAAATGTGGGGTAGAAGGAAGGAGGGGTTGGGGTTATCTTGGGTAGGGTTTGAGAAAGAGTAAAGATGTTTAGTGCTAGGGGCTTGAGCATCCAGTAGGCTTACGTAAGCATGTTAGATCAGTGAGTGGAAAAGTTTTTTTTAGGGCTTTGTGCTGTTTAATCTTAGTGTCCAACGTACTAATATGCAAATGCTGTCTGTCCAGTGTACAGGAGGGCCCCGTATATTCAACTTCTTTTTTTTTTCCTCCACGTTTTTGTTGGTTTTCAGTTGAGCCATTGTTCATTATGTTCGGTGCTTTTAAAGCTTTTCTGTTTTTGCACAACATTTGAATAAAGGAAGGGTGATTGGTGTCGTATTTTAAGGTAAGTATTGTATGTGCTGTGTATTTTACTTTATCTTTTTATGCTTAACTGTATTGAGTATCTGATTACACTTGTCAGGCATTCTAGACTAATTCAGTAATGAAAAAGTTATTTCTACCCTCTGTTGATTTTTGATTTGCTGCATGGGGTTGGAAACAGCCATACAAACGGGCTCTCCTGTACTGGTATGCAAGTGCTGTGTCCATACAATTTTTCGTACTTGCAATCTGCCACCTTTCAATATTTTTTGACCACAACACAAGTCTCGTTGCCCTTGACCTATTCATACATTCGAAAAAAATCTAAAGGCCAGCAGGATCCACAGTGTATCGTGGTTAACTACTCAGGTGTTGACTACGTCTTGACGTACCAGTATACTTAGCTCGCAAAAGTAAACAGTGAACCAAGAGATGTTCCACCACCAGCAAATGGTGTGTACCAGTTGCACAAAGATGGCTTATTCATTCCAATATTATTAGTTTCATGGTACTAACTGGAATTCAGCTGCAAAGCACCCCCTGTATCCATGGGTCCAGTTTCTGCAGTTTCAGTTATCTGGTTTAATGTCTCAAAAATAACCCTTAAATTTGCTTAATAATGGCCCCAAAGTGTAAAAATAGTGAAGCTGGCAGTTCTTCAAAGCCTAAGAGAAGCTGTGAAGTACTTCCCATCAGTGAAAGGGCATTAATCTTGACTTTGTGTAATTTACCAATTAAACTCAGGTATGTATAAAAACGATAAATTACTTAATTTTAGGCTTTGCTACTATTCACGGTTTCAGGTATCCACAGGTCTTGGAATGCATCCCTGCAGATACGGGGGTCTTACTGTATATTAACCCAGTAAAGTCAGACAATGAATAATTTTAATGAGCATTTTAGAACCCTAATTTTGTCATATAAATGCCACTAAATGTGATTTATATACAGTTGACTGTTGGATAACCTGATAGTTACATTCCTGAAAATGACATGTAATAAAATTTTGTAAATTGAACTGGAGAACAGATGGCAGAAATGGGTTTAGGTTCAATTCCCTCCACCCCCTCCCAATAAGAATACAATTTTTTTTATATAATTTTAAAAATAATTTGTTGGTTACTGTGGTGATGTGGCAGATCCTGCAAGCATGTGGTGTCTTTTTGTTTTGTTGTCCCACTTGTTACAACTGCATGGGGATTACAAATGTGGGGTTAGAGGTTGGGATGTTATATGAAGAGGGGTTAGTATTTGGGTAGGATGGAAAGCCTGCTCTTGAGGGAGGTAAAGACCAAACTGGTGCAGGTAGGGGGTTGTGGAGGCTGGAAGCAGTGAGGCGGTGTACCTTTGATATACATTTCACGAGTTTAGACCTCTTCAAGGGGGGCTCCTTGGCGTGGTGAAGAGGCTCTTGGTCTGAGGAATTCGCCCTGTCGGTCTTCTTCCTCAGACCGAACCTAATTACCCCCCATTCTCCCCTCCCCTATCCCATCCTCCCCTTTTTCCATTCCTCCTCCTCCTCCTCACCCCTCCCTTTTGCCCTTCCTCTTTTTAGCCTTCGTGATTTCTCCCACAGGCGCGCTAGTTCCTAGGTAGGGGAAAGGACACCGGGGTCCATCCCATTCCGTTGAGGTTTCTTGGCGGTGGCGTAGTTTGCCGTGGAATCTGGATTGCCTAGGGATGTCCCAATCCCTCTCCGGTATCCCGGAGTAGCTTTGGGTGTCTTTTGGGCGACGGGTGTATCTCTGGAAGCCACCTTTCGGATTCCGGGGGTGGTGGCTGAAGGAGGTATGCTTTGTGGCGGATATCCGGCCGCCCTCTCTTTTGTCCACCGAGGTAGCTCGGCAGATGTGAGGTTGCTATCCCAGATTGCTGGTTTACTGGCATGAAGGGTAGGGTATGGCACGGGTTCCATGCTGCATCTGCGCTACTAGCGGTGTCGAGTCCTCTTGGGCGCGGAGGGAGATTTCTGGCCCTTTCATTCCTCCTAGGAACTATCCCTCCCCGGTCCCCCCCTTTTTTTTTTCTTTTTTTTATTTTTATTTTCTTTTCTTTCTTTTTTTTTTAAAAACAAAAAGAAAGAAGTAACCAACCATGGCAGCCAAAGTCCATGAACCGGGTCCCCCCGGGGGCCCCTTCTTGTTTTAAACCGCACCCCGTCGACCCCGCCTCGTCTTTGGCCATCTTAGAATTTTCCTCATGCCTCTGTACCTTTTCGGTGTTTCCTCACCCCCTTGGTACTGAGGCCCCTCGACTGACTCCTTCTTTTCTAACCTTCGCTCTCCTCTGCCCTTGTTTCCGGCCTCCCCTCTAGGGTGCGGCAATTTTCAAATCGCGCCCCTTTCCACGTCGGACCAACTCTGGTCCCACGCCTAAACGCAACGACAATTACCTGCGTTGATACTTCTCCCCCTTTCACTTCTCGTTTTTCTCAGAAACCGATCGACACGTCCTTCATCTTTCCCCTCTTTTCAGACGAACAGTGGACTAAATTCTTCACTTTACGACCAAATTCTCTACTGCCTATTTTTCTGACCATGTAAATTGGGCAAAATTACCCTGTTTAAAGAAAATTTCTTTTCGTTTTAAGGCGGACCCTCTTTACCGTACAAAAATTTTCCCTAACCCGGTCGTATCTTGTCTTATAAAAATTTCCTGTCACCCTTGAAAAACTCATTCCCCAAATTTTTTTAAAGGGTACGTTTCTGCCCAAAACCCTAAATTTTTTTTTTTCCTTTTTCGGGCCCCACATTTTAAAAGCGGAACCCCGTTCCCAATTCAAGGTGACCTTACCCCCCCCCCCCAAACCCCCCCCCCCCCCCCCCCCCCCCCCCCCCCCCCCCCCCTCCCCCCCCTCCCCGGTAAAAATTTTGCTGGCGTTTGGCCATCCAGCGAAAATTTTGAGATTATCGCCGAATGCCCAGTTGTGGTGCCGATTGACCATTTAATCGCTTGCAATCGATCTCCTTTCCCTTTAAAAACTGTCATGGGGCTCACCCTTCGTACTCTCCCCGTTTTTGGTCTTTTTAAACGAGCGGGAAATCGTTCCCTAAAAGGGGAAAGAAGGTCTCCTTAGCCATGGCAGTTTTCTTCTCCGCCCCCCAAGGGAGACCCCACGGTTTCTTATTCCCGTGTTTCAAAACGTCCCCCCATTTGTACCCCATCTTCTACCCCCCCTTGTGGTTCCCCTTCCCATAACACTCCTGATCTAATCCTTTTGTGCCCCGGGCCAGACGTCCTACTTAAACCCCTCGTTTAATCTCGTTCTTCGAGTTCTCTTCAAGCCTCATATCGACGGCCCCGTACGACACCTCTTCCCAATGTCCCCTACTTCCAAAAGTAAAAAAAAGGTCGGAAAAACACCCCTCCCCAAATTTCCACCTCATTTTACCCTCCCTGTTCTGTCCCATTTTTCTTCCCTCTCACGGGGCTCGTTACAAGTCAGAGGTTCACCCTCCTCCTCGTGATGACCTTCCCCCTTTTCCCTCCCAATTTTTCCCCCCTCTTCTGCCCCTCCGTTCCTGTCTTTTCTGCCCCCTGCCAGCTTCCCCTTTCCCCTCCACCCTTTCGCCCCCCCCTCCCTTTGGTACAGTCCAATACAGTTCCAATTTTTACTATCCCCCCCCTACCATTCCAATATTTCTCCCATACGACATCCTGAATTCCGAAACACTTAAAGCAATCTTAATTATTGCAGAGCCCAAAACCCACAATGGACATGCCACCTTCCGCCTTTTCTTCCTTGCTCCACTGCGAAAACTCCTTTCTTCACAGCGCCCCCCTTCCTTCGCTGCTTGAAATTTTCCATGCCCCGAAAGGGACTTTTCAAACCCCTTCTAGTCCGTAGGCCCTTTTCTGGGATTTGTACTTTTTCTTTGCCAATCATGGCCTTTTTACGTGGAATATACGCGGCCCTCAGGGTAATGGGGGGTGAGCTTCAGTGTTACTTCCCGTTTCCCCCTGTTGGTGTTTCTTACAAAAAAAAAAAATTTACACTCTGCTGTTTTT